CACTTCCGCACCCAAACAGGTGAGTTATTAAAAAAAAGTTATTATTGTCAACCCCTTCTTGCAATTAAAAAAGTTATGAATGCGATACAAGGACGAATGAAATTGAATTTTAACAACCCTATATGTTTTTTTTAAGACCTCCATTGCTCAATGGTTAAACGTGTTGCGTTAAGCGTGAGAGGTCCTAGCTTCGAATCCCGGACTTAAATATACCTGTATATTTAAACCTGGATTTATTAATGTACATAGACATATTAAGAAATGGTTTTCGTCAGGCAGGGTACAGATTAATAAAATCGATCAGTGAATCGGACACAAAAATATGTTCGCTCTATGCCTTGCAGTTGAAATCGAATTTACAGACGTCTTATTTCTCATGACGTATACAGATTAATAATGATAAGCAGATAATACAGGAACTGAATTAAATTAATAATTTGAAGTAACAGGACTACTCGTATCTCTTTTTAAACCGTTAAATGTGTTTTATTTTATGTACCATTGGCGTAACTTGCAGACAATACTTATTGAAAATTCTTAATCAAAATTGGTAAATCTTTCCAACGCTTGAAAGCCACAAATTTAATAAATATTATGTTATGTATGTTATCTCTCGTGGGATATATAAAAACTAATCAAAGCATGCTTGCGCACGCGTTTAATTCATCCTAAAGGATAATTTCAGTAGCAGACCTAAGACTTCCTAAAAAAATATCTTGTTCCTCTTGTACACTTTCCTTTTCTTAAGTTTTGACGTAAGGCTACCATAGTAAACGTATTGTTTCTTTTTTATTTTTTTACGTAATAGTGTGCCCATTATAAAAATCATAAAACACAAAACAATATGTTTTAAAAAGCAAAAGCTTTACTTTCAATTTTTATGACATTATATTTAACAATTACACCCCTTTTGTCTGTTTGTCGGTAATTTCGCCGACACGCCGGCGTTTTATTTTAGTTTTATAACTCCTGTTCGTATTGTTATTAAGTAGATAAAAGGATCTTTCTAATGAACAAAGACATTACAGAAAACTTTTGACGGGACTCGAACTTGGTACTGATAATATCAAAGTTATGCTTTACAAAAAGGTTAGTGTGTAAATTTATATCGTAAACGTACTGACTTATACCTATTAAAGGACCATATAGAAGGTTTGGTAAACACGATAAAATAGGCGGGACTCGAACCAACCTCGGTGTTCATCTAAATTCTTAATGGCAACTGATTCGATATCACGGTCGGTAACACTTAGTTAGACGCTTGTAGCCGCAAGTTCGATTTCCTTAATCATAGAATTTTCCAAATTTAAATAATCCGAATATCCAAAGCCAAATAGGCCGACAGCCCATCTTGAGTAGGTGTTGTATTGCTGGGATGTTTCACCTCACATCAAGTGAGCACTGTGCTTGTCTGCCCTTCTCTAACATTTAAAAAAATTTCTTAAATGTACGAACAATTATGTCAAAACTCAAAAGTGCCATTGTATATAACCTTGATAGTTTTCGATTTTATTTGACCACGCGTCGTATTTAAATGCAAATTGGTATTAACAAATTGCATAACACAATATCATATACAATCTTTTATCCTTCACCCCGACAACTTGTCCCCAGTTCAATACCCGACTGGACATCTGCCCGACCGTTGATAGGTTGAATTTAATAACACGCTACGCTTTTCTATTTTATTATAAATTATATAGGTTTTTCATAGCACGCCACCTGTTGGTCCTTTTGTTAATCTTGTTGAGATGTTACTATAAATATGACCTATTAGTAATAATTATACATTTCGTTCTCATGCAAAACAATATGTATGACGGGCTCGATTGTTTAATGGTAGCAATGTGTGGCTGATAGTCACGGGTCGTGAGTTTGATATCCGTCAAAGATGTTTCTAATCAATTGTATTATAAAAACTTTGAAATGATCTTGTTGAATAGCTATCATAAATATCGTTTTAAAAATAACTAGTGCATATATTAACTTAATATAACTTTAATGTTAATTTACGAGAAGAAGCTAAGAAGTCCTGTTGTCGCTGTTATGTCGTAATAAAGTTCGATCATAATCGTATCGAAGTAGCTTCTTTAATGTCACGGGGAATTAAAAGAACAAGATCGATTCCCGCCCGAGCCACCGCTGCATAACATTAAGAACCCTCATTTACGTCTGGTCAATGACAAGCCCAGTTTTAATCAATAACTTCTTTTTCGCGCGGCGTCCTTGCTTTTTTTATTCGGCGCGACTTTCTGCGCGCATTTCCCACCGAAATTACGTATCAATCAAGCAAATGTTGCCCCTCATTTGACCGTTTCGATCGCGGATTACCTCGTTTGCGGCGATAACGCAAAAAGCTCGGCAAAAAAGGCAAAAGCTCTGCCAAAAAATCGTCTACCGAAGTATCTCGCCCGGTCTTGTAGCCATTTTAATTATTATTTAATACCGAGAGACGAGCACGTGGCGACGCTTTGCCTCTCGCTCGCACCTGTGCATCGAAAGGCGCAGGACCTCCGGCCTCTCGCTCCCGCGGGCCCACTTACACACATAAAAATCGTGAATAATAAAAAAATGTGTACACATTTTTTTCGCTTAACCGCCGCGCGCGTGTGTGCGTGCGGCCTCACGCCGCTAGAGCGAGACGCCGCTATTCAAACGAGCGAAACAGACGAATCCCCACTCCGATTTTTTAAGCTCCCCTGCTGATGTTAGCGTCCGTGTAATTTTTTCACTTTATATGTTAGTGTACCCCTCGCTCGGTGTAGTTCACTTTTTCTACTATAGATCTGAATTTCAGTCTCGTTTTTGCCGCGTCGCTCTAAAGGCGTTTGAGCGGCTGTTTTGCATTTAATTTTTCGTTTCCGAAGTACATCTCGAAACGCCGGCGACGCACATGTTTCGAGTTATCCTAACTGCAAGCCGGTGCACGCGCAAATAGATGCGTGCGACAAGGACGGCACCAATCACGTGTGGATTTACCCACATATAAACCAAATAAAAACACTAGCACACAAAAATATTGGGAGCGAAAAAAATCTTGTAATTTCGATCCTAGTAACGACGCTCCGCATTCATAATTTACCATCGGGGTTAGACGGGACGCTCGTTTTTGTAGCCGGCTTTTTTAAATGTTTATTTTTCGGGAGCACGTGGATTTTTATAGATATTTTGGCGATATCGCCCTGGACGGTTGCCTTACGTGTTGTGACTCTGGTGTTACCTGTATTATGTGATATTTAGTGACATTATAGATAGGAACAAACTGTGATTTATTATGGTGATATAGTTGGTGTTTTGAAGAGTTTTTGATATGAGTAAAAGGTATGCTGAGCTTTTTTAATTAGTGGTTTTCGGTTCCCCTCGCGAGGGTGGCGTGGAGATGGGGAATTTTTACGTAATACCCCCCTCAGTAAGACGAATGTAGTAACTTTGAGTCCCCGTTTGCTGTCTGACCTTGAGACCCAGACTTCAAATACGGAAATACGATTGAATGTATTTACGTAGATTACTTTAAACTTTATTTGTTTAACGATAACGCAGATATCAAAATAATGGGGGAACCGATCACTTATTTTATTTTTAGAATAATTTATTCGAAATGTTGTGCATTCGAAATTTAAAATTATCATTTTGAATTGTTTACTTTTGAAGTGTGTTTACTATTTAATAATATTTATCGATTTTTTTTAACGCCCAAAAAAAAAAAGTTTTTCATAAAAGTTAAAAATATATAAATTAAAATATTGATAGATTTTAAAAGCTCTTAAAAACCTGTAGCAAAAAGGTATAAAAGATAATCGTGACACAATACGAAGTGACTTAAATCACACAAAAACTACTTGTTCGATAACCTTGTCCGCTTCAGTTGACGCGAAATCTTCAAAATGCACATTTAAAGTAGCCAATAAAAAATAAATGAATACATTTCATTTAAAACGTTGCCAATTTATGCCCTTCCAAATTTCCTTTATTTTGGACACTTAAAATTTTATTAAGTACTTTTCGCTTTATCTAATCTACATCGAGTACCCAATGGCCATTAAATAAGTGCTTATTACATCTTAAGAACTTCCTATTAAAACCTGTATACAAATCTAAGTCTAATAATCTGTGGGGGCCAAGTACAAAGCATCACCAAATTACTCTAATATTAATTCTCTTGCAACGATAAAATTGCCGGACCTATCCCAGTGTACATAAGGCATATTATCGTTTAAACAATGATACTTAGCCGCAAAACAACACGTTCTTGTATTCTATGCGCGCAATTATTATCTTTGACAGGCGTGTATGGCGGGCATTACGAGTATAGTCATCAAGAAGAGTGTTTTTACTTAAAAAATATGAAAAAAAAAATGTAATTAAAGATACAAAATACAATAAGATTACTTTTTAAATAAAACGGTGTAATTAAAACTTTTATTGACACAACAAATATACATATATACCTCATTTACATTACAACTCTCGTAAAATATTGTAATTAAACTATCACACCGTAAAATCTTTTTTATTGTACTAAGAAAATATCGTGCCATCTTGACGCGTCTGTACATGCAATGTGATTATCAAAGCCTTATTCGATATGGCATGTGGGCTAGGGGCTAGATCATTGACACAACCTACGCGACTGCTCGTCACCTGCTGGAGAAAAAAACTCAAGTTTTTTACTCTTTAAATCTAGTTTTAAATAGACAAACAACCGGACAGAGCCGTTCAACAACATTTCAAATTAAATCGCAATCATTCAAATACATTTCCTTCGTAATTGTACTTTGAATAAATTCAAAAAAACACAACATTTCGTATAAATTATACTTATTATATTTAGGCTAATTGACAAGACGATAATTCTTTGCAGTTGAAACCGAAGATCTCGAATTCCATGACAGACGAGAAAAGCAAGATATAGTAACAGAAATATATTTTTTAAAATAGTGCCAAATAAGTAGATACGAAATTTTAAAGTACTTAGATAGACATATTACAAAGCCAAAAAGATGATGGAAGGAAGGACAATCGACTATAGGCCGGATGGCGGAGGACTGGACTATCATAATTCGCCACTAATGGCAGAAATACCTGTAGACAATTATTCGCATATCCATAGAAGTATAGAGCATCTCAGGTCTATAGGCGTGCCTCCGCCCCTGGACACACATAGGCACCTAGCAGCAAATCTAACTGACCTAAGAAGATATGAACATCCCGATGACATGCCAGAAATAAAGCCGTCCGTATTAAGATTATCTGAATTTAAGAATGGTCTGCAAGACTTGAGAGGTCACAACGATCAAGAGAACGACGTCCAGCGACACATGACGCCGCACGACGAGGGACCAAAAGGCTACAGTGCACCGTCGACCCCGCTTTCAGAAAACGGTGGGCAAGGGCTTCCAGAGGAAAAGGTTAGATATTTACTTACAATTACGGTTAATTACTGGCATCCTTGAACACTTCGGAAGTTCACATCTGCTTTTGACGTCATCCTTAATATTCGGCTTAGCATTGTTCGTTATTATAATCATTGTGAAGATCACGAAGTCGGCGCGGTTCCGCGTAGCATTTTATCATCAAATCATTCTCTTCATTTCGGCAACGAATTCTCTTAATGTATTCGTGCTGAGTACTTCCTTATTTAATACTTCTAACTAGACGTTGTTACACGACTTTATTTCATTCGAATATCCACTTTACGTTCGAGAGTACTCAGGCGCAATGTCAAAATGTAATTAAACATTTTTGAGATCGACGGTGTCTGTTGGCATAATTTATGTTTCGTTAATCTTAAATATATGTATAGAAAGGAAATTAATACAGGGAGTCTTAAAAAGTTTGATATAACCTTAAAACTAATAAGTAATTAAGAATCTACTAAGATGTAGAGAGTTATTCTGCTTGTCATTTTAAACATCAAAATTTCTAATAAAACAATTTTTCATCTACCATTTCAACCAACGATTATATCGATTTTGTAAACGAAGGTTTTATGCCTCCGGATGAACCTTACCATTCAAGGTCACAGATCAGGTCATTTGGAGGTTGTATAGGACAATACCTAGCGTCTGCAAGCGTATAGGTACTTGAATTTGATAATGCTTTGTTGTTCCGGGACGATGCTTATCTTAATAAAGTTTGTTAATTAAAGGTAATTTTAAGTTATGAATTAAGATTCGCTTTGTTTTAACGCCATTTTCCTGTATTTTGCTTATAATAATTCTAGTCTATTTTTATTAAAAGGTAAATAATAAATGCATTCATTTGAATAAGGTAGCGTGTTATGTGGCTGAAAAGATCAATAAGGAAAAAATGATTTGAATTAATTACGCTAGTAATTCATTCTCGTAAATAGTTAACTTGATGCTTAGGTACAGTATACCCTATAATTCTTACGACGTAATATTAAAACTACTCTTATTGGAATGTATATCCAACGTAATAAGAATCATAGAAACCTTTAGGGTGTCCAAAAGTTGTAATGGGACCCTATGGGACCTGCATCTTAAGGATTGTGACAGCTACTCTCACAATTATATAATATTTGACGTACTAAGATTACAAATACCAATATAAATACAGAAAATTCAGAAAAACTCCACGCGAATTTTGTCGCATTTTGGGAACAACGAATATAGGCTACAATATAAAATTTGTGTATCCTACTTTTGTTTACTGAAGTCATTGGTACAAAACCTTTTTTTCGACATTTAGGTCGAGTTCTAGTATTTGGTCGGCTTTTAAAGTCGTACAAGATGACTATTCGACCTATCACAATTATTTCCCTTCCGTCAAGATATGAATGTGTGTTTCTTATAGATTAGTTCGCGACCTGATAGACAAGGTCCCTGATAAACGTGTGGACCCTATCTTCTAATAAGTTGGAATAATTTGTGTATAAAAATTATCGAATTCCGAGTCACTTTGCGACCTCGTGATTTAGTTCAAGTGTAGGTGAATATTGTTATTCTTACAATTTATTATATTTATTAATTACTACTTTATTTTATAAAATTATATACTTTGTGATTGGTAACTTTATAATAGCAAAAAAAAAATGGCGAATTCCTTAAATATACTCGATGGATTTCTAGAAAATTATGTTAAAGTCATTCAGGTCAAAATATTTCATGGACTTACACACGCCACGCAAAACTTTAAAATATTATATCACACCTTAACATTCATTGTATCCACACAAAAAATCGTCCATTAAAATTGATGCGGCGAAATATCACAAATCGAATAGCTTCTTTTGTCGTTACATACATAACATTTTAAATTCTGATTTTCGGATCGGATGTCGACTTGTAAATAACAAAATTGTGTCAATACTGCAGACCGAGGTACTTCCATGAAACCTTAGGTACAACACATTTATTATACCAACGGATAATGTGTAATTTTTCAATATCATTTTTTTTGAATTTTAAAAATAATCTATTAATAATTATTATCTGCAGTGTTTTGAAAAATACGCTTGCGCGCCAAAAACAACATCTGTCATGTGCTCCGATGGTGACATTGACAATGGTTTGAAATTGGAATGCGGCCTTGAATCGAATTCGGCTTCTCGACGGACGCGGAGAGCAAACCGATTTGCGCGCGAAACAGATCATATTTTTTTCTATTGACTTTTATAAGCTGGACAATTTATTTATTGCTTGTTTGTTACCTATTTTATGTTCTAAATATTGATTTTATAGACCTCTTGATCAAAGTAATTATAACATCAATGCTAATAAGATTTTATAACTGACCACAGATAAAACGTGTTCTTACTTTCTTATTAGCATTTTAACATAGACTATATCTATTTCTACTTTTTACAAAAATAGGCACAAAACAACTAAAGCCTCCAACGCAATAACTTTTCATTTTAGACTGTCGACAACGGAATCGACCTTCACACCTCAACGTGCACCAGATTTGTCATTTGAATATTTTTTGTGTATCGGTATCAAATATATTAATCTAATTAGACAACGTTTTTATGAGTTCATTGACATCGCGATACATAAATGCTACTTAATTTGAGACTAACTTAATATTGGATTATATAACGACAAATGCAAATAAAAACATTTTAATTTTACGAATTAATTAAAAATTTAATCTCCACATTAAGTGAGAGAATACATTTATTTTACAAAGTATCCTAAAATGAACATTAATAATTATAATGAATACCCATTTTTACGCGTTGTAATTAATCTTCTCTGACCTTTTGAATGTTGCCTACAATTTTAAAAATCATATTGCGTGATTAATATATTAAAATTATTATAACTATATACATTTTATATCCACAGACATGCATATCATACATCTATTGACTATATATATAACTCTTTAATTAAGAAAAATTGAATGGAAAATTAAAACTAGAAAGTTGTACATATGTGCCTTAAAACACAATTAGGTATTATTTACAATTAAATAAACCTTTGAAATAAAGACCACACTAAAGTTTTTATTTTTAAGTATTTTTAATTATTTCTTTACCTACAAAGTAATATACCTCGTGTCTACTGGTTTTCTATATTTTCTTTTAAATAATATAATTTTGTATCCAGCCAACGCTACGTCTTAACTCTCGATACGACTGTAGCGTTTCGTAGAACCTCACTTATGTTTTTTGCTGCCAAAATCTTTATCATGACCCTTATTTCTTAGTTATAAAGGCGATTATTCTGTAACACAGTATTAGGTCTATACTCAACCGAATTTACAGAGTAATTTTGATTGACACCGACCATTACTAGCGTGTTAGGCATTGCGTCATCGTAACTACGAGCGTAGGTACAAGATTTTTTTACCAAAATAACTTTTGTTCTCCAAAATTAGATAAAGAACAATTTTGAACTTTAATGTTAGGTGTTATAGGCTACTTTTCTTTAGAGTGCGTAGAAATAAGTTTGTATGCCCACAGGTACTGATTTGAGGTTGTATCAGAGTTTTAAACGAATTGTTTGTTATTATACCGTCTGTAAGTGTATAATAAGTTTATGGCTTGTAATTAGTCAAAAGTAGCAATCAACGTGAACTTATTTTGACAGGCGAAATGCATCATAAATAATGGCCAATGTTTTCTGTTTCTAGCGGCCATAAAGCATGAATTAAAACGCCCGATTTTTACGAGAATTTTATGAAGATAGCGAACCATTCCATTTGAATAAGATCACGTTTTTTTTAGATCACTTGTCGATTCTATTTAAATTGTGTGAATGCATATTTAAGGAAAAGAATTTAGTAAAACAACAGATTAAAGAAAAGGAAAATTAAAGTTTTATTGTTATGATAAAGGAGGAGAGGAGACGATTACATTGATAAGAAAAATTTTGGACTCGGTGGGGATCAAACTCATGACTCGTTTATTGATAGCCACACATCGCTACCATTACACCAAGGAGGCAGTCAAAAAATGTTATGTTAAAATGTTTTTTTTCAAACGTAGGATTTTTAGTTGTGAGATTTTGTTACCGTGCTTCTGAGGCGGTTATTCCAGTACACAAACAATTGAAATAATGCAGCATTTTGGGCCATAACGAAATTATACTAATCGCGGTCGAGTCACGCGATCCGACTATCTTATTTTCGTGTGATATAATTATTTTGACGGATGCCGGAGGCAACTCACGGCATTCTCAAACGTCTCATGACTCGGGGTTTTGACGCTCCACACACAATGCTCCCAAAATATTTTAGGTCCATAACAGGCATTGTTATGGTCCTAGTGTTCGCCTTTAAATATTTCAAAAGTTGTTTCTTACCTCGCATCTCTAGGAACTATAGGTGCAAGGTACTCAAAAGTTTTTAGAGTATTTTAGTCCGCTCCAGAGGGTTTGACACTGTTGTATGTTACGCATACCTATTATAACAATGTAGAACTTAAAACCAAACATTTTAATTCACTTAGACATTTCGCATGCTATGATTGCAGGGAGGAATTAATTAGTGAACTTGTAAAAACTATAAAGCTGTTCAATTAAGAAACCGTTTGTGTATTCTTACAGTATTTGTCGCAATATCAAACATGAAACTAAAATCACTATAATATGCGTACTTGCTTATAGAGGTTCTTATTGTGTAAATGGTTGAAGTTAATATTCTAAATGTTGTACCGAAACGTCCCATAGATGCGATATTAAGTTACTGCGGTTTCTTGGTCCCAACTTAGAGGTAAAGACACTACGCGACATATTCATTACTAATTTCCGAAATGTCTTAAATAAATATTCTGGACAGACTATGTTAAATATTTGATTTCAAAAATCTTATAATTTCCATTCACATGATTTTTCTATTAATATATAATATATATATTGACAAATACATTATTTATAACTCGCATAAGAGATATGTAAATACTTAATATGCATACTTGTGATCCTAAAAAAATGCTATTTAT